TAATATCACCGTAACGATAGTAGAGTACAAACAATTAAAATCCTAATCCTATCTGAATTTCATAAATATAAAATGCTCTCTTAAAAAAGAAAAAATTTAAAAAAATTTATCTACTTTTTTACATCTTACCGATTACGAAAATGCCTATTAATCGAACAATGCCGAATTCCATGTTATTATAATTGAGAAGAACGTTTGCTAGATGAGCTGCGAGAAGAGCATAAACACCTCCACTGGCGCCAACAAGGTACACATCCGTGTCAAATACTGAAGTACCCAAGGAACCTGAACATAATAAAAAAAATTTTATAATCTTGTATTTTTAATTCATATAAATTATAATATAATATTATTTAGAATGCTACAATGTTAAGAACAACAATATTAAATTACATATATCTTCATTATTATTAAGGATAACAATATTGTAAATTGATCATATTATAAATTGAAAATTTTTATTGTATTATTCTCACAACTTTTTATTGTTATTTTTTTTATAAATTTTGTTCTTTATATATCAATCTAATATTTTAATTATTTTTCATTATTATCATCTAAAATTAAATTCTCTTTCTTTTAATAGATTAATAATATGATTAATTAGAATAACTTTGATTGTTAAGATTATTGATATTAGAAAAACATTTTTTTATTTTATAATATTTTGAACAGTTTTAGGTATGAAACATTTTAAATATTTTTCTGCGTAACAATGAAGAATCATTTTGTAGAAAATGAAATTTCTTTGCTAAATCAAAATCCTCGAAAATTTTTATGACAATTCTAGAGAAGGAATATCATAATTATATAAAATTTTAATTAAATGTAAAAAATAATTCTTGTTCTGTGCGATATAGCTTGTATATATGCTATTTCACAAATCTATTCAATTGTAACAAGCAATATTGTTTAATAAAGAACATGTGAAACATATTCACACACATGTGAAATAATGTATGATATATTCATGAAAAAAATTAAAGTAAAAATAGAAAAAGCAGTGAAAAATTATTGTAGACTGTGAAATCACAAGTATTATTATCAGAAAATTCATGAATTCAGAATGAATATAGTGATAACTGAATATATTTTAAATAAATATATGATAATATATTCATAATATATGATGATAATGAATATATTTCAAAATAATAATATAATAATATGATTGTATAAAAAAATATTATTTATAAAATAGAATTCGAAAAAATTTATAATTTAAAATAGATAGTTTTCAATATCAAATTATTTTAAATTAAATTTAAATAAATTAATTTAACAATTTTTATATATTTTTAAAAATTCTTTTTTATGATTTACAATAATATATATGAAAATAAGAAAAATTTTTATATAATTAATTCTCAGATACTGGGATTTGAAATAATCTTATTTATAATTTATTTTAATTCAATTTGAAAATTCATATATGATATTATAATAGTATAGTATGTATAGTATATATGTATAGACATTGATATTGATATTAATTTGATATTAAAAAATATCTAGTTCCAAAAAATTTAAAAAAAGTTATTTTAATATTTCTGAAAATATAAAAAAGAAGAAAAAATCAAAACGTTATTTTATCAGTTCTTTTGAATACAATACATTTTATCAAAATATTTTTTTATAACATATAATTATACAGAATGTTCATAAAAATATGTAACCCATTCTTTGGAGAGTGGATTTTAGATCAAAATAATTAAAAAAGTTCATATATATATATATATATATATATATATATATGT